GTTTGTACAGTATAAAAACCATTACGCCTATGGAGAGTCCCCATAAACCATAAAAACAAACCTGTGTGTGTGTGTGCGTGCGTGTGTGTGTGTGCGCGCGAGAGAGAGAGAGAGAGAGAGAGAGAGATAGCGAGAGAGAGCGCGAGAGAGAGCGCGAGAGAGAGAAAGAGAGCGCGAGAGAGAGAAAGAGAGAGAGCGAGAGAGAGCATTTGAAAAATAATGTGTTTTTTGAACATTAAAGCATGTCAACATATTCTGTTACACCAAATACACAAAATAATGATCTTTAAAAAAGCATCATATGACCCCTTTAATGTTTCTAACAATGCCATTAGGCTTTTTTTTTTAATGACCTGGATATTCACAAACAGGTTTTGCAAGCTTTACAATAAACAGGGCTAATTTTGAAGTCCATCTGGTTTAAACACACACCTGCACACACACCACACCTGCACAGAGTGATGGCACTATTAGAACCCAGAGTGGAGACAGAATAGACGTCAGTGATGTCATACCTGTGCGGGCGTGTCGGTCTCGTTAATCGGCTGTCCGTCAAACCGGAATCGAATCTGCCTCATCGTCAGTCCCTGCGGAGACAAGCGCACACATCAGATCCGGCCAGTGATTCTCACATCACCACTCAGGAGCACCACTGGGCTTTTACTATTACTTATATACTGCTACAGTTTTTATTCATATTTTGGATTCACTTTTATTTTTATACTTTCAGTTTCATTTAAATTTTAGTTACATCTTATTTTATGTGATTTTGACATTATTATTTGTTTTTAACTCAAGTCTGTCATCTGAGATTTACATTTTATCGTAGCTTTATTTTAATTTAAAAAAGATAATTAATAATTATTACTATTTATGTTTATTTTTTTATTTCAGTTTTCATTTTTTTTCTTTACAGTTAGTAATTTTAGTACTTAAACTAATGAAAATTAGAAATGTTGCCTCGGCAACTAACAAAAAATAAGTGTTTAATCTAATATTTACATTTTATTTGAATTAACAATTTTTTTTATAGTTTTAGTAAACAAACCCTGCTAAAAACTGAAAAAACTAAATAAATAAAAAATCCCGAATCCTGAATGAATTAATCAATCAGACTGATTATTTTTAATTAATCAATTGGCAACTCAGTCTCAGAAGACGTTAATATGATCAAAATTTTACTATTATTCATATACTGCTGTAGTTTTTATTAATATTTTGGCCTAACTTTTATTTTTATACTTTCAGTTTTCATTTTAATTGTAGTTACATTTTAGTAATTTTGTTTAAATGATTACTATTTAGTTTATTATTATTATTATTATTATTATTATTTATATACTGTTATAGTTTTTATTAGTATTTTGGCCTAACTTTTATTTTCAGACTCTCGTTATGTGCTTTTGATATATATTTTAATTATTACTATTTAGGTTTAGATTTTTTATTTTTATTTTATTTACAATTTTAGAGCTTCAGCTTAAATTAGAAATGTTGTCTTAAGAACTAAATGAAATTAAGTTTGTCATCTAATATTTATATTTTATTTGAGCTTTATTTGAATTAACAAAAAATGTTTTAATAGTTTTAGTTAACGAACTCTACTGAAAACTGAATAAATCCTGAATCCTGAATGAATCAATCAATCAGACCGGTTCTTTTTAATGAATCGATTTGCAACTCAGTCTCAAAAGACGTTGAAATGTTCCTAAAATGCTAATCTGAAGACTTCCACAGCATCCGACATCTAAGATAAAGACGAATGATCAGCTGAAACCTCACGCCTTCATATTTATTTCCCGCCGTTGACAAGGATTTCCTGACGTCTGAATGAACATGAACCTCAGGGCAAACGCTGTCCTACTTCTGCCCCACGATGAGATTAAACCCTCCGCCTCTGCCAGGAAAACATGCTAGTGACCTAAAGATCAGGCGTCTTAACCTGTGTGTTTACAGCACTGAGGGAGCTGTTAATAAAGCCTGCTTGTGTTCATGGACATGAAGACTGTGTGGACTTCTGGTGAGCTGAATGGAGTCAAACTGAGCAGAAACAGTGATTTAGCGTCTCTTTCTTTGTCGTACGTGAACATTAGAGTCCTTGTTTTCTCTTTAACCTTCTCTGACATGGAAGAAACCTTGAACCGGACGCGCAGGAGCATTAAGTGGACATGAGGGAGTGATAAAGCCAGCAGACGGTAGGACTGTTGAGGAAACACATGGATGCGTGAGTGTTTATTGATCCGACTGAAGAGCTTTCGTGATTACAGATGGCCCTAACCGTCTTGAGGACCACTGCAACCCATTCACACTCAGATTAATACAGCCTGCTTCAGTACTTTCTCAAAGTCTTTGATTTCTGTTATACTGACAGCGAGGTGAGGGTGAATCAGGCTCGGATGTTTCTTCAGGTCATGTTCTGCGTTGAACGACATTATCCGTCAAATATCAGTCATTTTTATTCTTGCAATTTGTAGAAAGTACATGAAAACACAAACAAATGTTTAGGTAGCAACTGAATGCATTTCTGATTTAATTTCAAAGCTTTTAACATGGTGTTCTTTCATTTCAAAGAATGTTATTATTACTCGAAGCCTTGATTTCTGTGCAATTCATCAAAATGAAGTGAGCTTATTATTAAAAAGGACAAATACCTGCCAACAGACATAGAAAAATGAACTTAACTCAAAAGTAAAACAAGTTTTCATTCCCCGCTGACAGATATTTGCTCTTGTTTTAAACATAAACTTGCTTGATTTTATTCAGTTTTTCCAGAAACAAGACTTTATATCCTCACTTTGCTTCTCAACTGCATCTTGATTTAAGGATGTTTAGAGTTTGATGTTCATTTTTTGCAGTGCGTGCAACATTTAATGCCATGACTTTATGAATTTAAGACTTTCTGCTCTGATTTAGCACCTTTTTAGGGTCTTAATTTGTGAAAGGGTGACATGAGGCTTTTAAGAGCCACAGAAACCCTGGAAAGGAGGCCAAAGAACGCCTGAATGTAAAAATGGTACGTTCATGCTACTAAGTGCATGTTTATAAAGTCCCACTGCTTTATTAGTGCAATTATGCATCCTAGGTGACACTTCATTTTTGAGTATATCCTCAATATATGTTGAGCCACTGTTGAATTGTTCTGTGATAGTGAAAGGAAATATTTTCCAAAACTGGAAATATAAAAGAAATTAAACCTATAATCTTGGCAAAATCAGATCCGAAGTGCAATATCATCAGAACAAAGAATTGGCTACAGGCTTTTGACGAGATCTGGAAACATTTAGCTAAATTAATTGATTTGGGTAACACTGTCAGTTACTTTATGTATGTATAGTTTACAATGTAGTTTTGTTTTGTTGTTTTTTTCTTTTTCCTATAAAATTGTATTGATTGGCTTATTTTAATTGTTGTGCTGTATTTGTATGCATGGGTTGGTGTATTGTTTTGTATATTTTGTACACAAAAAAATTTTTATATGCTAATAATGTATAATAATAAATGCAATTTAATTAATAACAAAAATGCCGTTTCTGCTCAGAATGAACCGAAATGAACAATATTTAATTTTTATGATATTTGCACTGCATTTTTGTTATTCTTATGTTGACAAACAAGGCAAATTCTACGGTATTTCTTTAGTACAACAGTGAAGAAATGACGATGGGCTGGTGTAAAATTGCTCTGTATTTTGGACACAAACTCTAATATGTGTAGCAAGTTTTCGGGCTTGTAGCTGTTACGATCTCACAGAGGAGATTGTGTGACTTCATGTGTGTGTGTGTGTGTGTGTGTGTGTGTGAGTGTGACTTCATGTGTCTGTGTGTGTGCGTGTGT